ATCTTTCTTTTATCCGTGACCTATGCGGGATGTATTCTGATATAGTTTTGCGTTTTTGTTTTGTTATTTCCCTATAGTGTACGTCTTGAGCGTACAGTGTTGAACTTGTTTCCACATATGTTCTTTGTACATGCCAGATATGTAACCCCAACTCCTGTCTTGGCCCTTGGGCTGACAGTATGAATAAATAAAAAAGGTATTGTGTATAGAGTTCGAAAATTTTTGGCCTAATCGAAGCTATTGGACAAGGTTGAAAATCGCCACATGGTGTACGCTGTCAAAAGTTTTTTTTTAGATTAAGGTCGAGAATCACCTTGGTGGAACTAGAAGTGTTGTCTACGATCTTCCGATGATTGAACTGCAGCATCACGTCTTGCGCAGAAAGGTTCCGACGAAGTCCCAACATGCTGGAGGGGGGGGGGAGACGTCGGCGTCTTACAGGCAATCAGTCATGCGAGTCAGGTCAGCATGTTCCATGACTATGCCCACGCAGGACGTAAGCGAGATAGGTTCTCGATCGTTACCTACTGGCGCGTTTTCAAGATCATGGCCATGTGTGCCTGTTTCCATGCATCGGGGAGATAATCCTCTCGCCATCAAGCGTTACCTTAGTCCATAAGTCGGATAATTGACTCATGGTCCAGGTTGCGTAGAGCCTTGTTGGTCAACCAATCCAGGCTCGGAGCCAATCCGGTGTTGAGATATCTTAAGAGTGCCCTGAATTCGGCTTCGCTAAACTCTCCGTCATCCTTCTCATTGTCGTCTCTTTCATACATTGTGTGTTCTTTCATCTGTTCTAAAATAACGCTCACGTACGGCCTCAAAAACTTCATCCGGTGTGGCCCCAAGGTCACGTACGAGTATTCGAATCTTGTGTCTATGTGCGGGCTTGGTCTCTTCTGAATCCAGATGGTGCTGCTAGCATCTGTGTCTCGAGGCCATTGCACGCCTCCTCCCGTGACGCGCGGCATACCTGGAAAGAGTGTTCTTTCAAATCTCTGTCCAGTTTGACTATGTGCCTGCGTAAAGTTCTGTTTACTTGTGACGTTTTCATCTCTTCTAGAAACCCTGATTAGCCTCCCACATGTTCAGGTGCCTGCTATCGATCACGTGAAGGTTTGCCTCTGGAGGACCCTCGTGCGTTGCTGCCTCCATGTTTGCTCTGAGTATCTCGGTCCAATTTTCAATGTTCATTATCGGCCGGCCGTCTCGCTCACGTTCTTTGCGTGTCTTACGGAATGAATCTCATTCCGCGAGATTAAGACTCTGGGCATGACACCGGCTAACAGGCTGCCCCGTTTTTATTCCAATCTTCTATCCTATTTGTTTTATTTATTTATTTACAAATACTGCATCTTGCAAAGCAAGGTATTGCAGGAGTGAGTACAACACAAAATAAAATACAATACATTAAGTCACACTAAATCATATTTAGTCGCATTAAATATAACGCTGGTCGCTTCTTAGCCCTCGCGCACCTTGCGCCATTGCGCGTTGGCTATGCTCGCCACGAACATAGACAACAAACGCGCTGTTGTCAACGCATGTGCTGTTGCCCCTGCGGGTGGGATCGGCAGGGTTCGCAATGAGTTCTAGTGGCTGGTCTGCCGAATCCTCCCACAGGCGCCTGCCCTCAGGTGTTTCCCGTGCGAATCCTTATGCCGCGTGAGGCGCGTTGAAGTCGCCCGCAACGAGTAGCGGCTGCTCGCTGGTGGCTTCACGTACCCTTCGCAACAGCTCCCCAAAAATGTGCTGCAGCAAGGGATTGCTGTATACGTTCAATAGAAATCGTCCCTGCCCCCTTCTCAATGTTATTCGCGAAGCACTCTTTGTGAACTTCGGTGACTTTGAGCGTATCTGTGTATCTATCTAGCCACTTACGTTTCGGTGCTGTCGTGGTCACCCTCCTAAATTGGCGTGAACCAAGACTAGCATTGGACGGTAAGATGGTTTGCCGAATATCACGCTCTGGTCAAGACATGAATAATGTCACAATATTGTTGAGCATGTCATCAAACACTTCCCGCCAGAGTGTGGCACATACCCATGGTGGGTATGTGCCGCTGGTATGCTGGTATGTGCCATAGGTAATTGACGCTTTCTATCTAGCCAGGAATGACGCAAACATATATGGGCAATTTTAACGGGCGAGCATGAACAAATACCGAACATAGGTAGGGTCAAGCCGACGAATGCAAAGAATAAATGTCAGGGTCCCAGCTGGAATCATACCCGAGCATTCTGCGTGGCAAGGAAGCATTTTACCACAGGGCTATGCCAGGTCTCGGAACTACTTTTCGAACCGACGGTTATCTTCGTGAAACGTCAATAGTGCTTGCAATGCTGCCTACCCCATTTTGTGAACAATGCACATGTGTTCCTTTGATACAGCCGCATGTCGGGTTAACGTCAATTGTGGTTACTTGGCTGCACTGAAGTTGATTTATGTATCGGTGTTGAGGGCCCACATTTTCGCGAGCATCAGCGCTTCGTATCAGCTTGTGGTATTGTTAATACGCATGTTCCAGTTGGCATCGTTGCTCAAGTGAAGAGAACTGTTTATACAAACATCTGACACTCTTCATCATATGTCTATGCGTGCAACCTTTGTACATATATTTGCCTCATTTCATGCTGTTTCCCTCAATAAAAAAGTGCAACAGTCTCCTTCCCACCGCATGCTTCGCACAAGGTCGATTCCCAGGTATGTGGGTTCTGCTGAATTTTTCATCTCTACGAACACGTGCGGTATCTTCCCTTAAAGCTCACGCTGCGCCACTGTGAGGTTGCGACGAACCAGCGCCGAGGAGGCCAGCGACGCCGCCATCTCTGCTGCTGCTGCTGCTGCTGCTGCTGCTGCCGCCGCCGCCGCCACCGCTGCTGCTGCTGCTGCTACTGCTGCAGCGTATGGTCAACCATACGCTCAGGCCTGGCGTATGGTTGACCGGTCGCCCGCTTTGAACTGCCCGCAAAGGGTTGGGGTTTTGCTTCGATGCCGTCTATTCGCTCCGTAAGCGTCGCAGTCGCCTGAGTCATTTGCTCCGCGAGCTCAGCTACCGAGTTGTCGATCATTGTAAACATTTTGTTAATTTGTCCGTCTGGCTCCCGAAACGCTCGTCTAGGCTTCTCTCAATATTCCCTATGCGCTCTTTTAGCCTTTCGTAGGCGGTGCTACACGGTTCGTGAGTCTTTTGGGGTCTAACGCGGCTATCTTTGAAGATACCGACCAGTTTTCACGTTTATCTGCTCTAGCCGTGGAGCTTTCGTCAACCGTGTTGACCTCGACTAGGTTGTGGCTCTAACATAAGCTGTCGTTTGTGCTGTTTAGTAATACCCGCCTATTCACCTTAGATATTTCTTCTCAAGAAGAGCATTCTCGCATCTTAATTCTTTATATATATATATATATATATATATATATATATGAGATCTAACAGGCAGTAATGCCAAGGAATGTGCACGGGAAGTTATTAGAACCAATGGAATGCAAATAGGAAGAAAGAAAAGTGGATGAAAAAATAACCAGCCGAGAGCTGGTTATTTTTTCTTCCACTTTTTTTTCTTTCTATTTACATTCCATTGGTTCTAATACCTTTACCTGTACATTTCTTGGCATTTCAGTCTGTTAGATCTCATTAATATTGTGTTAAAACACGGAAAAACGAGCCCTTAAGTATACACTTCTACCCTTATATATATATATATATATATATATATATATATATATATATATATATATATATATATATATATATATATTCAAGGCACTGGGCACTGCTTTATAGCTCGTTAAAGCTGACTACCACTCATGCGACTGACAGCTGGGCCACTAACGCCACTGATTGCGGCACCACCAGGGCACCCCGTAGCGTCGCCGCTGCCGGGGGAGGCAGCAAGATCAGTCCAGCGTACCTCTTGTACGTTTCTTTTGTAGTGTTGTTGTTCCTGCTGATGCTGTTGCCACTGCCAGTGACTTCCGGTCTCGTATTGGCTGCTGTTTCCATGGTTGGCGTAGCTATCTACTTGTGGGTTGACTGCAACCTGCGTTTTTGACATTCTCCTCAGCTTCGATATATGGGAACCAGTCAGCGATCGTGAGCGTGCACTGTATCTCGAGCAAGACTTTCCTGCACTACCGCTGATCCCGCGGCTGTGATTTATTTTGTTATTACTAGCTTTCATACTAAAGTTCAGTATGAGAGCTCGAAGAGTGTATCATTTGCTTCCTTAGCAACACAATCTTCTGACCTCATGATTCTGTTTAATAAAATAACATATTTCTTGTGAAAACTGGTAGTCACCCGCTCATTACGTAAATAAGCCACACGTACTGTATCGTTAGCGCGATTGAGCAAGGCATGACGAAGGGGTGCGATGGGAAGAAGCCCCTATCTTTATTGTAGCAGTGCTCATATACCGAGCGAGACAAGAAAGGGTGCGTACCCTCACCGCACTATTGTATCAAAGGGGGCGGGTTTGACACGAGGCACATGCTGCGCAAGATATGATACATCCTCCTTGGTGTATAAAACAATTGACAGGTGAACACAACTGGAACGCTCACAAAATGTTAAGCACTCATTCACGGCACTTGAACAAAGTTCTTGTTGTAAGCCAGCCGTCTGGGCGCTTTGCGTTGTCGCTGTGATCTTCTTGGAGCTTGTGTAGCTGTTGTGCCCGGCATCGGTGCCGCGGGCATGTACCTCGGCAACGCGACTGGAACCTCATGCTCCGTAGCAGATGGCGTTACGTCCTCACCACTGTCGGGAAGGTCTGGGCTGAAGTCCTTGCTGGTTAACAGCAAATGTCGACGATTCCGTCACAGCTGCCGCCCTTCTTCTGTCGTGATGTCGTAGGACCTTGGATGCCCAGAAGGCCTTAGGACTTTAGCTCTCTTCGGCCATCCTACTTTGGAACGCAGACGAACCATGGCCCCTGTTTCGAGCAGCGCCAGCAGTCTTCCAGGGCGGTCGGTGTGGGAGCGCTTCACGATGGAGTGTTCAGGTCTGGTCTCCATGTCCGGCAGGGTGTTGCGCAGTCTTCTGCCTTGCAATATCTCCGCTGGGTGGGACCATGCCGCACTCCAGTGGCGTTGTCCTGTAAGCAAGAAGACCCAGCCAGAAATCTTGCTTTGCTTCATGCGTTTTTTTCAGGATTCTCTTGATGACCCGGACGCCTTTCTTAGCCAAACCATTCGATTGTGGATATCCTGGACTGGGTGTGATGTGTCTGTAGTCGTATGCCCTCGAAAAGGACCTGAACTCGTGACACGAAAATTGCGGGCCAATATTTGTCAGAACTTCCAGTGGAATGCCGTACCTAGAAAATATGGCGCTAGTTGCCTGAATTACAGAGCTCGCCGATGTGTCACGCAACTGCTCCACTTCCGGAAAATTTGACAGCGCGTCGTATACGCTGAAGTGCGACCGTCCACCGTACTCAAAGATATCAATGCCAACTTTCTGCCATGGCATCTCGAGCACCGGGCGCATCATTAAAGGTTCTTGCGGCTGAGTATACGCGTACTTATTGCGCACTGCACATATCGGCACGAATGCACCAATGTCGGCGTTAATGCCGGGCCAAAATACAAGTCGCCTTGCCCTTTCCTTGCATTTGTTGATGCCCATGTGTCCTTGGTGAATTCTTTCTAAAGTGTCTTTCCTCAAACTGTTCGGAATCACCACTTCACATCCTTCCAAGAGGACACCTTTCACCTGCGTCAGCTCTGTAGAGAATGGGTTCAGCTGTCTCTCTATGCGTAACCCGTGTTCTAAACTGTGCAGCACAGCTTTAAGATACGAGTCCCGACTCGTTTCTGCTGCTAGTTGTTTCCACGTGTCATCACTGACAAGAGATGAAACGACACTTGCGGCGTGCACTTCCACATCATCGCTCCCGACATCACTGGCATAACTTGAGGTGGGCGCCCGCGACAGCATGTCGGCCAGTAGAAGCTGCTTTCCTGGAACGAATCGCATTTCTGTGTCATAGCGCATCAATCGCAGGAAGAATCGTTGCAGGCGGGGCGGCACATCACCAATGGGTTTTTGGGCGATAGCGAGCAAAGGGTGATGGTCGGTCTCTAAGATAACGTTTCGGCCATACACGAAGTGGTAAAAGCGTTCGCAGCCGTAAACACAAGCCATCGCTTCCTTCTCAATTTGCGAATAACGCTGCTCTGCTTGACTTAGCACGCGGGAGGCATAGGCGACCGGCTTTCATACGTCATTGTTGCATTGAAGTAGCGCCACTCCGATACCGTTCTGCGATGCATTGCATGATACCTTCGTGGCTTTCGTGGCTTTTGTGGCGTCGAACACTGAAAGCACGGGCTACCTGCTGAGGTCAGCGCAAAGTTGCTCCCACTCGAGCGCGTGGTTGGCACTCCATTCAAACATTGTATCTCGCTTCAGCAGGCTTCGCAAGAGGCTAGTCCTTTCGGCTAGTGATGGGAGGTATTTGCCGAAATAATTGGCGACTCCGAGCATTCTTTGGACGGCCGATTTGTCCTCCGGCGCAGGCGTCTGGAGCATACATTTTATCAAGGAGGGGCTCGGCCTGATGCCATCCTTGCTGATGACGGCACCGAGATACTCTATCTCCTGTACGCCGATTGTGCATTTGGCCGGGTTAAACGTTAAGCCAGCTTGTTGGGCTGCTTGTAGTGCCGACCTCAGTCGCGCGTCATGCTCTTGCCGAGTTGTTCCCCAGATAAGGACATCATCAACGTACACCCTGACACCGCAAAAGCCATCCCAAATTTCTGTTAAGGTTTTCTGAAAAACCTCAGATGCCGATGATATACCTAACGGTAATCGCAAAAAAACGGTACCGGTCGAAGGGCGTGGAGAACGTGAAAATTTTAGAAGTTTCTTCATCGAGCGGTATTAGATGGAACTCTGAATTTGTATCGAGTCGAGAGAACAGCGTCGCGCCAGACAACTCGGCTTCTATATCCTCTCGTCTAGGCCTCTCGTAGTGTTCTCGTTTCAGGCATTGATTTATTTTTCTAGGATCTATGCAAATGCGCAGCTTCCCGTCTTTTTTTCGGGCAATTACAAGTGAACTCACCCAGTCCGTTGGTTTGTCGACTTTTGTGATGATGTGGCCCCGTTCCATGCACTCGAGTTCTTCTTTGAGGGGCTTCTGGAGAGTCAGGGGTACGCGCCGAGTTGGTTGAACCACCGGCACCGTTCCCTTGTTGAGGACCATATTGTAGACGCGTTTGACACAGCCCGTACCGGTGAACAAGTGGCGAAATTCATCGACGATTTCTTCAGAGCTTGTACGAGACGCGGCGTGTACGTGCGGGATCAATCCAAGTTGCTCGCTCGCCCTCAAGCCTAAGATGGCCTGACCCTTGTGTACCACGAAGAAGTCGAGTGCAGCGGTGTGGTCATCCAGCGTCACTTCCAGTCGCGTCATCCCTGCATGTTTGATTACACCGCCGCCGTATGAGCGAAGCACGCCACAGCTGGGCTTCAGTGCTGGCCTCGGATGCATCCTGCGGAACACTCCGAAGGGCAGTAAATTCGCCTGTGATCCTGTGTCAATCTTCAGCGTGACTTTGATGCTTTGAACTTGCGCCTGAACGACCCAATCACATTGACTTGTCACTCTTCTTACAGACACATCGAGCACTTCAAGGTCGTCTTCATGCCTTCCCACCTCGTCAACTTGCGATGCGTTTCTGCAACATATGGCGAAGTGGTTTTTTTCGTTGGCATCTTCGGCATGTCCGTGCGTATGCAGGGCAGTTTCCTACAGCGGGCGTGCGTGCGCACTTCGGGCATTTGCGGTTGCCTTGTCGATTTTCACCTTGGCTCTGCTTCGAATTGCGCACAGAATTTACATGCTTTTGCTGGCTGTCCCACACGCCTCGGTGAGCTGCTGTTGCCTCGGCTGCCTTGCAAACTTGCTCTACCTTATCTAAGGTCGAATTGTTGTCACTGAGCAGCTTTTCACGGGTTTTATCATCGCCTATTCCAAAAACGAGCTGATCCCGGATCATGGAATCTGTTAGTGCGCCAAAGTTGCACTCACGAGCCTGTTTTAGCAAGTCTCGCAGGAAGTGTTCCAGGTGCTCACCTGGGGCTTGACTCATGTTCCGAAAGACGTAGCGCTCGTGTACTTCGCTGTAATGGGTGGCGCAGTATGGCTCGAACTTCGCCACAACCGTTGCGTAGCCTTCTCTGCTCTCGCTGTCGGCGAACGTGAAGGTGTTGAAAACTTCGAGCGCTTCTTCACCGGCGATACTCAGGAGTAAAGCTACCTTCGTCTTCGCCGATCGAAGTTTTTCTGGTGGGTCTGATGCGGTGACGAAAAGTTCAAACCTTTGGTTGAACAGCTTCCAGTTCTTGTCTGCGTCTCCTGACATGCGCAGCGGTTCCGGTGGCTTGAGGAAGTCCATGGCTGTTCCCGTCGTCGCTGTCCTCCAGTGAAGTCGTGAGTTTGACTAGCCACTTCTGACACCATGTATCGTTAGCGCGATTGAGCAAGGCATGACGAAGGGGTGCGATGGGAAGAAGCCCCTATCTTTATTGTAGCAGTGCTTATATTCCGAGCGAGACAGGAAAGGGTGCGTACCCACACCGCACTATCGTATCAAAAGGGGCGGGTTTGACACGAGGCACATGCTGTGCAAGATATGATACACGTACGTACACATTTCAATTTATTAACAGATCGCTCTTAAATTCTGATAATATTAACTACAAGATAATGTCGAAAAAACTCAACAGTGCGAAGTTCTTGATTTCATAATGAAGATTGTGAAAAATATCGCAGGGGACGCGGGCAAATAAGTGGGCACCGCATGCTAGTTATGCTTGGTGGTATCATCCTTAAAACTTGCGGGAATGTCGCGCGAGGCACTTTTCTTGAACCCATGCTGTCTTGTGATTCTGATTTAACCACTTGAAACTTTGCTGAATGATCAAGATGAACTAAAGGTCTTTATTCAGTAACTATATATGAACTGCTGGGCACGTATCCGATTATCATTTGGTGATATCTATCTATCTATCTATCTATATTTATATATATATATATATATATATATATATATATATATATATATATATATATATATATATATATATAAAACAAGTGTATACTTAAGGGCTCGTTTTTGGTGTTTTACGCAATATTAATGAGATCTGATAGACAATAATGCTAAGGAAGGTATAGGGAAAATTATTAGGCCAATTGTAATGTAAATGATAAGAAAGAAAAGTCGGTGAAAAAACAACTTGCTGTGGGATCTATATGCATATATATATATATATATATATATATATAAATATATATATATATATATATATATATATATATATATATATATATATATATATATATATATATATATATATATATGATACAACAGACAGGAATGCCAAGGAATGCACAGGTGAAGTTATTAGAACCAATGGAATGTAAACAAGAAGAAAGAAAAGTGGATGAAAAAATAACCAGCCGTGAGCAGGAATCGAACCTACGACCTTCGAATAACGCGTTCGATGCTCTAACCACTGAGCTACCACAACGGCCTTCCCTCCATCCACTTTTTTGGATTTATATGTGAATTTAGAAGTAGGAGTGACATTCAGCGCCATCTATAAGACAAACGGCGAGTGTGAAAACACTCTTATGCGCATGTTTTAGTGTCACATAGCACGTGAACTTATTATGAGCGGGCAGCTGATTAATTGTCCCTCTTATACAACCTAAACACACCAAGTCTGCCAGTACGAGACCCTCGTTCAATGAAAATAAGGGAAGGAAGTGTATACCTAAGGGCTCGTTTTTCCGCCCTTAGGTAACCTATAATTCACCTATAATTGATGTCGTTATGATACAGCAGGTTATCCACCTTTTTATGTGTTCTATAGTCGTAATCCGACCTTACCACTGGACACCCTACTAACGACTACTACACCTCCGCCGAGCGAATACGCACGTGATGCTATCGCTCATGCCGACCACGCACGTCATATTACCCGCTCTAGGCTGTTGGCTTCACGAGCAACCCAGAAGGCTCTCTACAACAGCAAGCATGTCGACGTTGACTTCTCACCTGGTTTTCTAGTTCTTCTCTGCAGCCCAGTACGTCATGTTGGATTGTCAGACAAGTGGATATCTCCGTACAAAAGACCTTACCGTATCATACGACGAGTAACGAGCGTTACCTATGAGGTCATTCCAATCTCCGGGACTAACCTGTCTGCAAACACGCCCAGTGACGTGGTCCACGTCAGTAGGTTGAAATCATACCATCCTCCTTCTGAAGAACACGTATAAAGTGCACCGATTAGAGGCTTTTACTACCAGAGGGTAAGGCTACGTAGCTATCGCATGAAGGGTGAACCATTCTGTCTTCAGCATACGACGAAAAGAACTGATTTGCTTGCTCTGTGTGCTGCGCTCCGATTTTGTTGGTGTAAATACACTGGCAAATAGTCACATCCCGTCTCATTTTACGTAACAATATAAACAAGGAATAAGAGTGATGTACAGTCAAGAGCAACAGAAAATCCTCTTCTTGCTTTTATTATATTATACTAGCTAACGTTATCCTAACAATGTCGTGAAAAAACAACACAATGGAAGCTTGTTTATTTGACTCCAAAAACAGAAGGTGCGAATTTCAAAATGTGGCGCGTGCATGACAGTAGTTAAAATACATTATTTGTTAAGAAAAATGACGCCACCATCTTCGTGTTTACCTTGAACATTCCCAAGTCCCATTGGAAACGGTAAACGTCCATCACACAAAGCTTTCTACCATGCACCTAACACCATTAACATTAGCAACGTAATATTTTACCTAAAAAGCATTAGGATCATGTTAAATTCACATACATTTATTATAAGTTTGTATGTACAACATGGAAATGAGCAACTAGTTTTACCTCTCTTCTTTGACATATTGTTAGTGGCTAAGTATATTGCACGTAATACAATTCGTTATTAGAATGAATATTAATAAAACTTCATAATATCTAATATTCACTTTCACATAGGTTGATAAGCGACACAGAAGAAATGTTATGCAAGTTATAACCCTTCAGCTCCAATGTTGAAGGTTATCAAGAGGGAGCTCATTACGCACCTGCCCGTGGAAAAGATTGACAGCAGACTGGCTCATCTTCCCAAAGCCTAACAGCCGCTCCTGGCCAGAAGGAAAGGACAGCGCCTTAATCGCAGGCTCCGCAAGAAGATGGCCGAGGTCAACAGAAGCACTGATGATCACTGTAAGGTCGTCTCTAAACAAAAATGGGCCAATTTTGGCACCTGGTAGATGAAAAGATGCGCTAGGCAGGCCTTTATAACCTCCTAAATCACCTGTTGCATGAATGTGATGTCATGTGTGCACAAACGATCGGCAGTTCTCTCTCGTCAGGTGTAACAGAAGATGACGATGTCTATGGTGCTGGTGCAAAACAGCATGAATAAGGCGGGTGGTGAAAAGGAAGGAAAAAAAAACAAGGAGTACACGTGCAAAGAGAAAATGCCAGTGAAGACGACGAAGGTCAAGAAAGGCACGAGGGCGCTATGTCGACAATAAAAGAGCAAAGTGGCCCAATCGGAAGTCAAGACGAAGGGTTGAGGGGCCAATAACTTGCTGACGCGGCAACCCAGCAAGCCCCAATGACAAGCCTCCGTGTCGCCCCGTGCAGTGCCACGGCAGTCGGCAAGAGACTCTTGGTTCGTTTAGGCGGAAGCAAGATGGAGGCAGTTCACAAGAGTCACGGTCGTGGTTTGCCTTGAGTGCCTGGCAGAGGTCAAGGGTCGGAGCGCCTGCTTCGTTTGACCTCTGTCTTCGACGGTCTTCGGAGCCAGTGGGACAACATTGCGGCCGCCAGGTTACGGTCGTGGTTTGCCCGAGTGCTTGTCTGTGATCCCTGGTCCATGCGTCTGAGAAGACTGCCTGACTTCGCCAGCCCAGTCTTCCACACCTAGCCGCTCCATCGGTGCCTACATCTGAGCATCGTCTTGCTCTCCGACTGGATCCTCCAACGACGGCGTTGCCGTGAACGTACCTGGTCGCCGTTTATGTCCGCGACGCTTCAATACTGATGCTCATCGGTGAGACTTTTCCGGTCGTGGTTGTATTCGACTGGTTTATGTGTCTGCTTGCTATCACAGAATGATTTTGACACTTATTGTTGCAAGTCTGCACTTCATTCTTTTTTGTTGAGCTGATGTCTAAAATGCCAGTTTTCAACCTATTTTTGATGTTTTTATTGTGTGTAGAATAATTTATGCTTCCTGTGTGTTTATACTTATGTACACTGCTTTCTGTATGCCACCACTGCATGCTGAACTGTAATCGGCTGGGAAGCCTAGTCAAGCTCGCAACAGCTTTTTCTTCCCATGCCCTCTACTTCCTGAAGTGGAAAAGAAATGATTGATTGATCGAATGATTGATTCATTGCTCATACCAGTGTATATAGGCTGTCAACTGTTTTGTTACTTCTAGTACACAAGCTTTGACAGCTTGTTTCTTCTCGGCATGCACAGCACGCCAGAAAAAATTGTAGACGCACAGGTGAGGGCGTGATTCACCAGGTTGTTAATTACGCGTTCGGGTAGATACATCCTGCGAGAGCACAGGATTCCACCCATGGAAATCAAGTCTTGCTTGTGCAACATTTCTCGTCAAAAGCAAGAAGAAATCACCATTTTCCACATCTCACAAATTGTCCACCCCAAGACGATAAATACAGCGCGAAAACCAGATGACAACAAAGAGACAACAAGGACGTGGAGTACACTTTGTCGTGTTCTGTTCTCGCGCAATAACTATCGTTATGTCATACCTACTAGCCTAAGCTGCCACAATTCTAAGTCCATCCCAAGCATACTAAATGTAGAAGACTGCCTAGGGGAAAGACTCTGCAACAAAGGACCCAGGAACACGCCGGAAACTGTTGCTTCATCGATGCGACCCGCTATTCCGAGAGGAAGGCGTGCGCGGCAGTGACCACGAACCACAATAGCAGTATCACGAACGCGACAATAGTCTGGATGACGGTGGCTTAAATAGCAGAGCAAGCAACGATTGCGTTGGCCTCGCTGGATAACAGGAGGTCCACAATGAACAGTGGTTTGAGATTGGCTGCCAGAGCATATGCAAAGAGAACAATATCGGAACCAGGTTTGTGGATTCTTCGGACCAAAGAGATCGAGCCACGCACACTCGATTGGCTCTCAGCTCAAATGGGACGCATCGAGGGAGCCCCACCCAATCTCAACAAGTCAGACCACATGCTGTGCGAGGACTATTGAACCGTGTAGCTATAGGGGAGCGCTGCGATGATGCTTTCAACAACCGTGACCCTTCAATCACGTATAATGAACTAGCAAAATATTTTTATTTGGCGCGGAGACAGTGCCCTTTACCACACA